GTTTGAGAATGTTTACCAATTTAGGTATCGCGGTCCCATTATCTCATACGACTGTATCATCCAATTAGAGTCATCAAGTGTTTAAATCGCTTTGCTTTCAAAACCTTTAGAAATCTGTAAGATGCAGAAATTCATTTCTAAAAAAAGTCTCTCTGCACATTCGAAAGGTCAGATTGTTATTCTAAAGCATATAGATCTCTGCTTTAAAGAAAATCGTGTAACAGAGGTTTAACAGTGTACGCATGCTTTAGATATGATCGTTAAATGACAAGATCATGCAATTAATGGCTGTATCACGGGCAAAGATATCCCCAGTAGATATCGAAATTCTGATTAAGAAGATAAGACTGACCTTGCTAAAGCTACTGGTCGAACACATACCCTTTGCTTCAGCCCGTATGCTTCTCGGTTGGGAACCAAGAAAAACGAAAGATGTTAACCAGGAACAAGGTGAACAACAAAGAGACAAATCTTAGTTAAGAAAAGAGTTGTTACTTAGATAAAATTTCAACCGATTCCTCATGACAAGAACGTTCAAATGCTCAAATGATGAAAACACCGAACTACATCGAGTGCTGAAGAAACTAAACCAATGCCGGTTGTCTACGACTTATCACAAAACTGGCATTGACTCGTCGCTTCTCTTTTACCTATTTGCATGTCAGCGAAAATCCGTCTGTTAGTTTTATGTCACGCAATTAAATATCTTGTCGGTACGTTGGTAGTCATACTAAAAAACACAAAACGGTTTATTTGCACATGCTGCAAACAATTTGGTCAATCGGATGACTGATAAGTACGAACGTATCCGCCGTATCTCATGAGCATTCTACATTGAGAAAGATGGTATGGCATCGGAAGTCTTATTTGTCATTCGTAGCGGTTCGTATATTTGTAACCAGAAGGCTTCCTGAATAGCATTTAACTGCTATCCTTCATCATCCTTGGTGATGATCAGGGTATCAGTACACCGAAATGAGTTGCACGCATGTCCCACTGAAGTCGAACAAAAAAATACCGTTCTAAACGCTTAAGTATTATGTAACTCCACTTATCGAAATCATTTTCCTACAGTATCATAACCGCATTATTCAAAGCTGCCATTAAACACAACTGTAATTAGTTCCTAACTTGTCCAACCCTTGTTTCATGGCGAATCATCAGGTTCCTTCCAGATGCAGAAGAGCCACTGAAGCAGATCACTGTTCCGGGACATCGTTAGTCGGTGCCATGCGCGTTTAAGTTCCATGTGAATGTATTAAACCATCATTACTCAGGTGAATTATAATAGGCATTTTATACCATCTTTCAGTTTTTGCTAAATGTTGCCAAACTGTTATATATTTAAGTAGCTAATTATACGCAACTTACTACAAGAGGGGAATCACAAAGAAAACGCCTAAACGACTTCTCCGTGATGTCTTTTTCCAGATCATTATGTATCTTCATTTGATAGAGTTTGTACACTTGGTAACTCTCTGAAAAAGATTCAAGAAACGACGGCGACGGAGGATTAGATCGAACCAGCCGCAACTAAGAAAAAACAATGCAACAAAGTTGTTCAGCTGTTATCCTTAATTACTTCAAAATTGTATTTGATCTTCTCTTCAGGCACAATCGCAAGATAGTCTTCTAAAGATTTCGTTGGAGGAATTTTTTTGTGCCAATCCTAAAACATAATACACGCGGGTTTTAAAAACTATGACGAGGTGAAAATTAAGATTCATTTTGGTAACACAAAGTTAAACGCGATAAGGAAACATGACTAATAAAAACTGGCTTTAATTGCCATTTCTTATTCAGAACAGTAAAAGCAATAAAAAACAGTATTCAGAGCAGTATTACATAAGCTAAAGTTCAGGAAAAGCTATTGGAATGAATCATTAAATCGCTTACAACTTAAATCTCACTTAATGATGACCTACGATGAGCACTGAATTCAAACAAACAACTTCCCAGAAAGGCAGAGCGTTTGTTGATGTGTTCCCTGGACACTGACAGTATGCATTATACTTTTAGTCACCTTTCGCGCTACGGTACTGATAAGAGTATCTCGGCATATCGTTAGAGACATGTCTTCCAAGAAAGTAATTGTTCATTCGACGAATCTGTTACTGCTGCAACAACAATGACAAATCGGTGTCGACGTTTTGAACGTTATAGTAACAAACTATGGCCGCCGGAGATAGGGGGTTTGAATGGTCTGAATAACTGCAGGTTTGTCTGAGCAAGCTATATCGTCAAAGCACTCCGTGGTGTGTCTCTGGGCCACCGCGAGGAAAACGATTCTGAAACCCGCTGCGATCGTTTAAAGCTGTAGCCAGAAGTTGTGCCTGTGAATTTGCTGCCAATTTGTTAGTGGCAGGGCAAAGCAGCTCTGCGTCAGTGGATTGCGTCACCGAGAGGCGGTAATTCAGTTAATTACGCGAAGGTTACGGTTTGGACGGCCATGACGCTTGATGTCATGGAGAAGCCATCTCTGACTCCGCTGCCTTGTAGCAAAATGGTGAAACATTTAAAATGCAGCGGATTTTCACAACAGACATTCAGTAACTGTAAATGCTGGAAGTGGTGAATACAACAAATAATTGCTATGCAGGTTTGTTTTGAAAACATATGGAGATCTTTAGAAAAATATGGAGATATACGGTCACTGCCATTAATCGTGACTTTTACAGGCCTTCGTCCAATAAAAATTCTAGGAATGCGCTGCCTTGAGATTTCGTACCTAGAGTTATTCATTCATCACTTTTATTTTACATAAATCTTTGATGCTCTCTAAGGCAAAG